CAGTAGTGAAAAAAAAAGCAGAAAAAAAATCATGGAAAATGCCCTATATAGAACCCTATGCTGGCCAGGTGGGCGGGGCGGCCGACTCTTCACTAGCGAACGGCGCTATCCTCACGCCTTTTTGAGATGCAAAAGTAAGACAGTAGTAAAGAAGTACAGAAGTATATACTCCTTATAGGGAGGATGATCCTATGACGTCCAGAGAGGGCATTATGATATCCAGAGAGGGGATTATCAAATGAACGTGGGCGCTGCTTTTAAGAGCCGCACACAATGGGATGAGTCTAGCTTCGCTCATGTGTGCTCCAAGCATAACTCGCTCTTGACCTGGCCCTGAAAATGGCTGTTCAGGCGGTAGCGAATTTCCGGACAGGCAGACAAAGACGGACGAGCCCGTCCAAATATAGTAGACAGTGGGTTTGCGGCGGGGACTGATCTTGAGGGAGATAAACATAGCATTTATCTGAAAGGTTCGCACTCCTATTTCTGATCCGTTTAATAATCATGATTAATTGCAGACTCGCCATCGCTGCCGTGTTGTCGTGATCGTTTTGGGGAGCAGTCGTGTCAGGCTCTAAGGAAAACACAACCAGCTCTTTTTGAGAAACGGTCAGTTATGTGTCGTCTTCAAAATGACTATGTAAAAGGCTTACCTTACTAACGAAGCAGTTTGGTGCGTCCTATGTTTGTAGGCAATTTTGACGTAAGTACGTCGCAAAATCCAGCACTAGCTAGGTCTGGGCCCAGTTAACTTGAAGATGTATTGGGCCAAAACATATGATACCCACAGAATTGAGTGGGCAGCTCTTACATAAGTGATCGGGAAAGATGGCAGTGTCAGAGGTGAGAGCTCGTAATTTTCAAAGGAGCCCAGGTAAAAGGTGAAGGGCTAAACGCTAGCAGCAAACTTGCGAAAAATGTAGGAGAGAAAAAGCGCAGTGAATATGGGTGGCCTGGGATCAGTGGAAAGCCTCAAACACACAAAGCGAATCCTCCATCAGTACTGTAGAAGTGTCGTCTAAGTTTACAAATGTGCAATTGATTTAACGTAATCTTCGACTTCGGGTAAGCTTTTGGGGCCGCCGTGTTTGATTGAGGGGGCATCAATAGCCACTCTGCGCCTCAGACACTTACAGTCACTTAGAGACTGCTTCGCAAGAGAAACTCACAACGACTTTGACCGCTCTGAGCGTTCTGAGCCTTGGCTGGGAAGAACGCGCGGAGGTGCTGGTCCTCGCCCCATTTCCCCTTTCCACCTAGAAAACGTTGGTTACCGGCTGCTATTTATAACAACTTTGAGCATAATGTGTAGATTTTTGGCATCAAATGCATTCATTAAGGTGTCTAACCGATCACGATTTCTATACGCTTGGTTGCTGTGGTGAATGTCGCAAATACATCGAACTGAGTAGGTGTTTTCCGAATATTTCGCGTTAAAAAAAAGAGATGTGTTTAGTGCTAGTTGAGGCGGCCGCCAGATGGTGGATTTTACTATTATTACATGGGGCCAAGAATTGGGTTAGTATAGTAAATGGCTCTTTTTCCTACAATAATTTTTATATTAAATGTGAAGATCGTTTCCAAAGGTCCTGATAGGTAATTTTCCATTGTCAGACAGTGTGAGTGTTTTCCTACTATTTCGTGGTTTCCGTCGATTTTTTATATCATTGAAATGGAGTGTCGGGGCGACAAAAAAACGAAATTTTTTAACACAACTTTTTGGCACACTACTCTGCCCTCGAAGTTTACAGAAAAAGCTTTGAAAACTTCCTACTATACATATAATCGGCTATGTGTGTGTGTGTGTGTGTGTGCGTCTGTCTGTTTGTCACGAAATTCATAGCACCTGAAGAAGGACTTGGAGGGGTCGGGTCATGGTGGGGATGGATAGAGCATGGGACAAAACCTAAATAGCACCCATGACCCATGGTAAGCCCCGCCCACAGTGGGTGCGTCGAAAGTTAGCGATGTCACTGGAAATAAGATCACAACTCGTCCAGGGCAGTTTCCAAGTGTGAGGAACGGAGCGGGTAGAAGTTAGCTACATGGGCTGACCGCTCCAAATAGAAGGAAGATAAAACCCCGAGCTGGGGCGGAGCGTTGTTTTGTAGAATGGCGAGCCCTTCCGTGGCCAGCTAATTGAGAAATAGCTGTAACTTGGCTACAAAGCTGCTCAAGCAGTCCCGGAGACGGGAAAACTGGGTATAATAGGTTAGCATGTGGGTTGGCAGAATCAAACAGAGGCAGACACACCTTGAAATAAGTCGGGCCATACTTTGAGATTGGGCGCCGTTTTCCAGTAAAAAAAATCGGTAACTCGGTTCCCTTATAATGTTATGAGATCGCGGAAAAATCACATGACGAAGATTGAACATCTGGGCAAGAGTCACTCCACCATTTTATTTCGGCTTGCTGGGCCGCCCTACAGTGGCGGCGTTGCATTTGAACAAGAGGTACCAGTATAAAAAACGTGTAGTTTGGTCCTCAAGCACTACAGAGGGCAATAAATGTGGATTATGGGCCCCCGACTGATCAAAAGCAGGAATTTGCGAGGCACTCGCGTGTGCGGAGCTGCAGCAGCCGATGGTGGGTGGAGCCAGTCTGAAAAATATCCGTAAAACTTCCAAATCACTCCAGACACCGCGTAAAATAGTTTAAGAGGGTCTTCGGTTGAGAAGCCGCGAAGGCAACTCTGCATTGTGGGCGAGCGTGCTACGGGATGGGCGGGTTCGCGACCTAAAAGATCGTAAAACGCTTCCAGGCACTCCAGACACCGGGAGCAAATATTTTAAGTCAGCGAGGGGTCATCGGTTCACAAGTGTGAGGTACACCCGCTGTGGGCGGAGCGTGCACGGGGTGGGCGGAGCCAGTCTGAAAAATCCGTAAAACGCTTCCAAAGCACTCCAGACACCGGGAAAAAAGTTTAAGAGGGTCCCGTTGAGAAGGCGCTCAGGCATGACGTTGTGTGGCGGAACGTGCAGGAGGCTGGGCGGAGCCAATTGAAAATAGGTTTTATTTTAATCCCTAAATGATTTTAGAAACGCCAGACACCGGAAAGAATGTAGTTTGAGATCAGCGAGGGGTATCGTTCACAAGTGTAAGGCACATTCCCGTCTGTGGGCTTGACATTGGGCAGGGCCCTTCAGCCGGTTCATTCAGCGGTTGGCACGAGCACTGTCCAGGGCTCCGGCTTTGTGGACTTGGTCCATCGCGCCTGCCTGCATTCGAATGATCAAGAGTTCGACTAATGCCCGGCTTTTCTCTCATCTGTCCACTTGATCAACGCTCCTTTTTACCATTCCATACGCCATAATAGTGTTGAAAATAGGCGTTTTGAAAAAAATAATAAAATAGCCGGAGCCGTTTTGTATCTCAGAAGGAGGCGCGCCGGCGTCAGCCGGCGAAGCCGGCTGGTGTGATATATATGGCAAAGGGAAGACACTTTTCTGAGCAGTTTCGAAGTATCAAGCAATGCAAAGAGATGGGAGTCTCGACCTTGTTAATTGCACTCTATGGGGCCCTCTTAGGGAATGACTGCCTGCCAAACTTTACCCACTAACGTTTAACATCAGCTGAGGGCCATGCTTCATTACGATGAGGAAGCATTCTATGCCCTCCAACGGTTCTTCACTCTTTCGCATGGATCTCTATGTACACTGTAATTCAGTAAGCTCTCAGTTGGGCACAATAGGTCATTAGGTCCGATGCTTGTCTCTTGAGTCGAAATTGCAATCTTCAAATCGCTCAAGCGGTTGTAATCGTTTCTCAAAACGCTTAAGACTCAGGGGCCCAACCCTGCGCATTTGGGCAATTACTTTTATGTTTCTAGTTTTACTCGCTCCCTCCCTGACCTTGCACCCACCAAGCATCGAAGACCCTGCGTCACCCTGTGTGGGTCACCCCTTTCCATCATTGATAGCTGTATTTTAACCTTGACTGCACATCTACACGAGGAATAAGGCTGAAGTTTCGCTGAGAATAACCTTTTCTACGAGTGGGTGGAGTGAAATGACGAGTCAGTGGTTTAGTTGCACACAGTCGTGCCTCATACCGAAGAAAATACAATACCCAAATACCTTTCTCGATGCAAGTTCTCCAGCTTTTGCCAATTCTGATAATTTTCAGACAGTATAAGTCCCGAAGACTCAAAGTCTCTTCTCAAAGTGAGTTTTTCGGTTAAGTTTCTTGGTCTGATTGATTAAAATTCCAACTTATCATCAGCGCTCATTAACTTAGGCACCCGTGATCTGCCGCGACAAGCATTCGTTGTCATTTTGTCGACGATTCAAGGCTACTGGAATGGGAAAATTCAGGTGTGCAGTAGAATCTTTCGTTAGCTCTTTTGATGTACGGAACATTGTCACATAGAATGTTGAAGAGCTTATTCGACAAGGAAACATGAAGCTATTTCGAAGTGATTAGTTCATCAACTCTAGAACTTCTGAAAAAAATAATATTTGCGAACTTCATCGGAGGTGCCGTGCGAGGACTTCGCACTCTCCGTTCCCTCAATTATCGAGGATTACGGCGATTACATTGGCCATGAAAGCAGACACCAAAAATCGAAAAGTAATAGGTCACTGATTTTTCGCTGGGGAACTGCCATATTCGGCGGGATGCTTATTACATAGATATTGGCGAGGCGGTGTCTGTGTAATGACAGGTACGGGCCTGCCAAGCTAGATAACTCGTCCGATAAATTAACGATAATATTTTCTTAATATTTAGTTTTAATATTAAGATATTATAAGATATTAGAATATCTTAATATTAATAATAATATTCTAATTCGTCAGATATATTAAAGGTAATACTCTCTAATACTCTCTTGTTATCTTAGTAGTGTGCTGCCCCGACGTCTCGCACGTAAAACCCGTTTAAAGAGGTACAAAGTTCACTGCAAAACACTCCAAAAATCCAAAAGAATTCAAAAGCTTCCGCAAGAATTATTTTTTTGATTCCTTCTTTCGGATATTTCGGTGCTTAGCACCTTCCCCAGCGATCTGGAATACTGCAGCTAGCTGCCTCAAATCAAAACTTGGACCCTACTCCACTGGTGTGTTGTATTAGCTACATCCCCTTGTGAGAGCCGCGCCTCGAAGTGTTGACTGAGTGACCTAGCTGTCACCCCTCCTGAATAACTTTCGCAGTTAACAGCTGCCTTCTTGCTTCTCAACCAGAGTGTCACTCCTTGATACAGCCCAGTCGCATGTTACCTCCTTTGTAAAGCATTATAGGCAGCGAGCAGCTGCCCTCAGACCATCTACGTCCGGGAATCGAATACTAATGAATAGAACGCTCTCCAGTACTACACTTTGTTGATAAACGTTGTAGAACCTTCTGCTATGTAGGGTTCTGCAATATTGGCCTAGAGGTAGTCCTCTTCTCTAAGAAGTTTCCTGGATGCACATGCAGCAGTGCCACCACGGTGACAGAAAGGGTCAGAGAAGCGACTTTCTTCAAACGTAGGTGCAGACTAGTTGAAGCTCGACACCTTTCCTCGATGCCTGTTGAATAGGTCGTGAAGTCAGACTTTTGTTTCTAATCTGTTTGTAGTCAACTAAGCAAAAGTTCCCTTCTTTTTGTTGGGTTTCCTGGTCCTAAAGCCTTCAGCTGAAACTCGTACGTTCGCATATCGTCTACAGCCACATTGAATCCAGACTAATGTACTGGAAAGAGGTAATTATGACTACTCCAGGGGCTTTTTTGGTCATGTCATTTTGTTACTTTCTGTCTTTATTTACTCGCTTGCAAAGTTGGCAAAGGTTTTTATAGTTGTGGTGATGCCGAGTTTGCCGTGAGAGTCTGTCGTCACACTTGTGGATATTGTAATGATGCACTGTACGATGGAAGGAATACAGCACCGCTCTGTGCTGCCAACGTCATGACTAGCCTTGGACCAAACTATGCGTTCCTTCGAAATCGGCTGCAGTGGAACACTTACTGAACAATGTTGCAGCTTAATGTTGATTGCAATTTTTTGTGCCTGTTGTACGTCTCAATGAGATCACTTGAAATAAATCTTACACACTAGAACGACGAGTAAATGGTCTTCTAAATTTTCTATTTTTTTCTTGCATGGTAACTCCTTCTGTGGCTTTTCGGCTAATGCCGTTTGGACTCCGGAAATCTCGTCTTCGAGCTCATTTTCAAATTGCGTAGAGTCACCAAAATCCACTAAACCATGTACTGTAGGGGAATTCAAACATCCTGATTACGAGACTCATAGACCACTGCAATTCTTGGCGCTGGCGCCAAGAGAGGACACTACGATTACCTCCTGGGCTCAGCCTTAGCAGAGCGCAGGTAATCGTAGTGTCATCCATTAGCGCCAGCGCAAAGAACAGGATGTTGGATACCCCTATATACAAGTTTTAGCGATTTGGTGATCTTGCCACTTTTAAAATGAGCTCGAAGACGAAATTTCTGGAGTCCAAACGGCATTAGCCGCCCCTTTTCAAGGATACTGCTGATGAAATATAATGAGTTTACTGATCTGTCGAAAATGAAAATGCTTGACATGGCAAGAAATGAAAGATGCCATTGGAAGGCAAGCACCCACGTTTATTTAGCACTCCCCTATGCCAGCGGAGCATTATGCACTAAGTTTGCCTCTCCAGAAAGGGCGAGGGATAGCGCCGTTCGGCTATGTGGTGAAGAGTTCGGCCGCCCCGCCCACCTGGCCAGCATAGGGTTCTATATAGGGCATTTTCCATGATTTTTTCTGCTTTTTTTCTTCACTACTGGATCACGTATTATATGAGCTCCATAACTCATTATTCTTGAAAGCGGGCTCAGCCTTTAAAGGCTAAGCCAAAGCAGTTATGGCAGCCAGGTGGGCATCCTCTTCACAAGCGGGTGGCGCCATCCTCTCGTATTTTTGAGCTGCGAAATTAGTACATCCTACCCTTGTCGACAAAGCTACGATATCTAAGGAGGGCGTAGGAACATCAAATGAACGCGGGCGCTGCCTTTAAAGACAAGTGGCACGATAAATCTCTAAGACGTGTACTTTTGGTCCAGCTCCCCTGAGCAGGCTCTGCGAGCGCTTCTCTCAATGAAATTACCCTTAATTAAGCTGTAACATACCGAACTGAAGCCCACCGCGCCCGCTCGCCAGCGAACGCCCAACCGATGCTGATGCTCCGTTTCATTTGTGAAGTACAGTACGATGCGAAGGGATTGCTATGAAACCGCTGTGGTGCTGACGGTTCGGAGTGCAGCCACCGCGGCAATGTTCCAACAATGATGTCAACCTGAGTTCGCCACAACTGGTAGAGCAATTGTGCTCTGGCTGCCTCCCGATCCTTTTCAGGATAACGACTGTACACATATGCAGATGTCTTTTCCGTTGGAACCGTAGCGCTATTGGCACGATTCCAACGGAAAACTCGTCCGGAATTGCTTTCTGAGTAATGTAGCAAAAGTTTTTTTGCAGGTTTTCGACCGTTTTGCTTCACGTTTTCACCATTTTTCACTTTATAGCACCTCCGCTACCATTTTAGATCGAGTACCAAGTTATCGTGCCCTATGC